CAGTTTGAAGCCGAGCGAAGCTTGACTGAGCTATTAAATTACACTTAATATCGTAGAAAATCATACTATGAAAATGTTCAGTTTCAGACTTAAATCCATGGTGATGTAGACAACCAATTTCTAAAATGACGCCACAATGTAAAAACAAGTGACAGTCAGATGAAACAAACTGTGTTCTACAGCCAAAGAGTTCCATTTTCAAATGTTGTAATTACTTTTTAAATATTGTTTATATAAGTGGCCAGTTCTGGAAACTTATAGGTGCGCCCTATGTATTATATATATATATAGTACAGACAGCAGCACATCAAGCTACACATTGACGGAGCTTGTTTCGTTGATCTGGAGGTGATATTTGAACAAAGGTGTACAGCTTGATGTGCTGGTGACTGTACAATAAATCCTTTTTGTATTCGTGGTAGAGGCCGAATTGTTTATAGACAGCTATACATAATACATAGACTGACTTTTGGCCTTACTTCCTTAACCCTTTAAAAAAATAACTTTAAGGCCAAGACCATCCTTACGTAGTTAATTAAAAAGAGTCTGAAGTAAACATGAACTGCCACATAACTTTCCACTTACTTAGTTGTTAATAGCACGTTTGTGTACCATTAAACTGTGCGCAGTTAAACCGTTAAACACTTTGTTTGTATTAATAAAATCGATGATGGCGGGGTTGTGACCGAGACGGATTAACTACTGTTTAACGCGTCACACCACCTGTCATAGACCTAGATAAAGTCTGTATAAAATAATTATACTAAACCCCCATCGCCGTCAGAGACACCGAAAGCTCAAGAAAAGTAAAATATATAGGATTGAGTGAATGAAAGAATGAATATTTTTTATCGCATATTTAATAACGAAAATGTAATTTCAGAATAAGCTAAATATGTACAACCGTCCTAATTGCAATGAAGTACTTGCACGCAAAGTGCAAGACGTGCAAACAAAGAGTATATTTTAATAGTAATATTTTAAATAAGTACAAATTGAGTACTAATAATATCGACGTTTAAAATCGATCGATCAAATTGTTCCAAACGGGTACGTCTCTACGGGCCGACGCCGGCAATTGTTTGCGATCTCCGTGCGACACACTTGCCGGGCTGGCAACGCGCCCACGAAACGTAGCCTCACGTTGCCTCATTTTCTAGGCGCTAAGGTCTAGGATGCTGACATCTTTTGCGACAGCATTAGCAAAGTAATTTATAAGGCAAATTTAGCGTATCAAATATCTAGTAGTATAAGAAATTAGCATGTAAGCGTTTTGGTTGTTACTGTAAGTTTACATTGTGTTTTTATAAATAAATAAATAAAAGATAAAAGGGGCCTAAGTGACACTTGAGCTTTACAGATTACATCGTTGGGATATACTGAAACAGCAAAGCCTTCTCATCCTTACCTTCAAGCCTACTCTTAATCCTTAGCTGTGCACATACTACAATTTACGAGTTTACTCTCTCACATGAACCTGGAAAAGGCCAGAACTTAACGACGTCCCTAACGAAAGTTGTTAAAGTGACTTCAGTTTTCTAAGCCTAACCTGAGCGTTCATTTTGTTCATCGGAAGATGTTGTTCTTTAGTTAGATAATTCAAAGTTATCTATTCTTATTGTTTGTTTTACTTCTAATTGAGTGTGGACAATTCTTTATTATTGCTTTATACTTACTTCTTATATTTGGATGTTTATGAAGTTTCACAACAAATTAAGTTGCTTAGTAGCAGTAGAGCTTCTTGTGAAACAGTTCGTCCACGAAAGTGCTACCATTTTACCTATTTCTGCTGCGAAACAGTAATATGAGCATTACTGCGTTCCGGTTTTCAAGGGTAATGGGTGCTAATGAAATTACAGGCACATGGGACTTGTCAACTTATGTCTCAGCGTGACGGGCGCTGTGGCAGTACCCCTCAGATCTTTACGATTTAAGGCTCTGAGTGGCACTGCAACTGTTACGGACAGGCCACCAGGGCCACCAGGCCCACGACTTGTTTGTCCTGTCACTTGGTATTATAAAAAAAAGTTGACAAGATAATTAAATGATTGTTTGTAGGATATATGAATGTTGTAAAGAGTAATTATATTGTCATTATCAACCCGTTTATACGTCCCACTCCTGGGCACGGATCTCCTTTCAAAAGGTTTGGGGACTTCACACGTTTTCCGAGGGTTGTCAACCTTCTTCGATGTGCGGGTTTCATCACGATGTTTTCCTTCAATGAAAAGTTCATGGTAAATTTCAAAAAGAAAGTAAAAAGAAAGATTTATGTGAACTAATTAATGACACTGCACAATACAATAAGAATATTCTTTATTTGCACATAGTAAAAAATCATCATCAGCTTACACGCATCCACTGCTGGATATAAGCCTCCCCTAGAGCACGCCAACTTTCCCGGTCTTGTGCCGCCCGCATCCAGTCACTGCCGGCCACTTTGCTCAGGTCGTCCGTCTATCTTACCTCAGGGCGTCTCACGCTACGTTTTCGTTGACGTGGTCGCCAATTCAGAACAAGTCTGCTCCATCGGGGATCAACCCTCCTGCAGACATGCCCGGCCCACTGCCACTTAAGCTTACTGATTTTGTGAGCTATGTCGGTCTTGTCGGTGGACTTTAGTTCCCTGACCTATGACCTCGATAGGGATTCTGTCCATCAGAGAAACCCCTAGCATAGCTCGCACGCGGAGCGACCTTGAATTTATGGACGAGGCCTGCTGTTAATGTCCACGTCTCGGCTGCGTAGGACATAACTAGTAGAACGCTCTGGTTAAATGCCTTAGTTTTTAGGCTTTGTGGGATTGACGACCTGAAGATGTGGCTAAGCTTCCCAAATGCCGCCCTGCCCAAACGAATTCTCCTGTCGGTTTACTTCTCGAAGTTGTGCTTGCCAAGCTGGATATTTTGGTCAACGGAGACGTAATTGTGCACAACCTCAAGAGTAACCCCCACCTACGGTTTAAAAAAGAAACAATTTTTTTAAATCACATCTCCGGGTTACAAGATAAACTTATTTTGATTATATTATTTTAATTATTACTCTTTATTGTGTACATACCGTATTCTCTCTTTATTGCTCTGAAAATGTCTTTATATTTCAAGTTGTTCCTTGTTGTTGTTGTTGTTGTTATTCAAATATTTGTTATTGTAGTCGCGCTAACTTTCTACCTCTTAATTAACTCTTCTTGGCAAATAAATAAAAGTCTGCCATCACTGGCCTCAGTGATGGCAGACTTTATTATATATTTATGCTACACAATACAGGTGCCTACCTGTATTGACCTGCAACGTTGGTGTATAGAAAAAATAAATAAATACGGGATTTAGACCCGAGAAGACTGTTTCCAATGTGTAGCAATCACAAAAAGCTACTAACTCGAAACAAATAAAACTTCTTCTATCTTTTTAAAGATCGTTATTTTTACGCTAATCATTTTAAAATATTTTCCAATACACCTAGTTGACAAAACCGTACCTTTTAAAATTCATAATACCGTATTAATTAACGATGAATCCACCACAGACAATCTATGAAGTAGTACCTTCTTATCCAACATCGTCCGTGTAACTTCTCAGGTGTATGCCAAGCCTAAAGTATTATGCAAAGCACCGGGCTTAAACGTGTCACTCACTGCATCTCTTCAACTTTGTAAACTACAAGCTTTGTAGCTTGTGGGAGAATCCAATGAATCAAGTTGTTAGTATTGCATAATAGAAAGATGAAAAGATTATTGAATCTTAGATTCAGCACCCTGTCTTCGCTGTAGAGCTTCCATCTTCTTGACGAGTCGTTGCTAAGTTGCTACTCATTTCTTTTCTTGCCTCTATATGTATGTTTTACAACATTAAAACTATGTTTGATTTCATGCAGGAAGCTACGTAGGCGATAGCAAATGCCATATTTGAGCTATTAACATACCATTACCACTTTTGATGTCACTGTCTAAAATTCCCCTCCTTTGAATAATGTCTAGTATTTTTGGTCCATATCTCGAATAATGTTATTCTTAGGGAGTCACCACACTATTACCGCGGAAACGGCTTGAACCGGTCAGAAAACAGTTTTAGGGTGCGTACAGATCTGGCGAATACGCCGCAAATGCGCTTGTTTGCGAAACGTTCGCCAGCTACACACGAGCATTACATTGTGCTATCTGTACACATGTATACGCTATATGCACGAGTGCAGCGCGCGTTGAATATGGGAGCAGCGCCCGGGCAGCGCACATGCAGCGCGTTCGCAGTGCATTCGCCAAAGCGAAGTAAAATACCTTTATTTTGCTTATTTTTAAAGGGCGTTTTCGCTTCCGCTTGAACTGCCGACTTATTCACTTATGGAGCCGGAATACGATTCTTGAAATCCCGACTTCTTCAAATAGATACCTTTTGGGCAAGCTCATTCCAACGTTGACCTCATTTTGAGTTAACAGTCCCGATGATGGTCACGAATAAAACCCAAATTTTAACGTCACTAGCACAACGCCTTTTGCGAATTTATGCTGTTTTCTTCCTCCTATGTCCAATTTGATGCTAAAATGTGAAACATTTACAAACACAACGCACTTTCTCGGCCCATGTCCACAATCGATGGCTTTTATCCATAATGGCACGACCACGCATCGTAAACAAACAAGGCGTGTTTTCCAAATTTTCCTACTGATTGATCAACACTCGATTGGGTCGGATTAGATTACATAAAATGCGTGGTAGTGCAAAATCTTTTTGTCTTTAGGGTCTTTTTGTTTTTTTTTATTATTTTCTTTGTTCACCCTATAATCAGCCTTTTACATTAAGTGAACAATGTTGTAATGACCTAAGTACATCGTCACTTAAAAATGGAGAATTTGCCACCCCTGGAATGCTGCCTATCTTTGAGATATAGTGTGTATTTTATTCGACATGGAAGCAGTTATTTATATTTGAATTATTTTCCGACTTCTATAAAAAGTAACAATCTATCAGACATGGAAATTTGACATCAACATTCATTGTTCACAGTCAATGATCCAGCTAAAAGAGCGTAAAGAAATGGACGAGGCGTTCAAGAAGGTACAGAAACCGTGGGCAAAGCTACTGCAGAAAGTAGAACGCACCAGACTCGAGTACCACACGGCTTGTAAGCAAGAGAGGACTGCGCAGAACCAGGAACGAAATGCCTCGGGCGACAGTTCGCTAAGTCCTGACCAGGTATGCAAAATTATTCTTTACTGTTCCTTCATTTATTTCTATGTTAACGCAGATGGTCGTGACTTTCACAGAAGATCTTTTCTTGAAATATACTGTTCACTGTCTTATTAAGGCGCTGGTACAATGGAAACTAATAAAAATAGTTTCTTCACATTTACGGACAACGGCACACCAGACTACACATTTTTGTTCGAAAATCGCCTCCAGTGCAACTGAACAAGATATGTCAATGTGTAGCTTGATGTGCTGGCGTGTGTACATGGTATATACGTATATACCGTATAAGTGAAAGGGTTGGGATACAGGCGCTCAAGGAAGGTTGGATACTAGGGCTACGAGTCTCCTGATCTCCAACACCCGATTAATTAAATTCTAGTTGATCATTGGTGTAAAAAAAACATCCTTTCAATATGACCAATTATTTAGTTCAAAACACATACGCTTCGTTGTTTTACTTGCCCGCGAAAGAGTGACAGAGCGGTAAAATTGTTGCCATAATAATATTCTAGGTTTTTTTACGTTGGTATTATCAATAGTCTGCCATAATATAGCGATTTTTTTTATTAATTTCTTTTTGTGACAATGATAACTTAAATATTTAAAAAATATGTAACCTTCGGCGACGTGCTCGAGGATACTTCAGACGGTGGCTTTAAAAGTGGAGAGCGGAATTCTGTCTGACATAGATATTATTTATTGGAGACAGACGAAACCCCCTTTTCACACATACTCGCAATGTGAAATAAAATTATTTGCTGAGAATCGAAATATAATTATGACTTTGACAGGGTTGCACACGTAACAAAATAAATTCGACACAATTGCAGCTGATAATGAACAAATAGGATTAAAAAGATCTTGACCGTCAAAGCTTTCTTCTGGTCAAGTCCTTCACTAGAAGTGACATAATCAGCTGAACATAAGAATACGAACCCACCATAAGTCAGTCCGCGTCAGTCAGCCTGACTGCCAGCCAGCTTATACATAGCAAGTCGGCGGCAAAGAAGATCACAACAATAATGAAAAATAAATTGCATGCAAAGTATAATTACCATCACCATTTGATCACCACGTTTAGCGAGTGGTTAGCACTATGGGCGTTCGATGCCGTACGACCAATTTAGATAGGAAATTTTCAAAATTGGTTTTGTATTCGGTGTTCTAAGATTTGCCCCTTACTTTACCCTTTATACTCATTGTATTTGCAATTTCATTTGAGACCAGGTAATTGAGTGGTGATTATCTGACATTATATGTGTATATCAATTGAAATATGTTTAAATTTTACCACAACACTTTCACAGTCTCTAATCAAATAGTAAAAACCCAGAAAACAACCTACTATTGAAGCATTCTTACAAAGTATTAGTATATATAAATAACAATAGCGCAACAGTTGAATGCTCGGATAGATGCGCCGGAGTTTAATGCAAATCGCCCTTTGTTGTCACCAAGCGCGCGGACAATGACGCAAAATATACATAAGATTAAAGTAGCTATGTCCTACTTATGTTATGTTGACATTTTAACAGCAGTGGAGGGATTTTCGCTCATTTTTATATAAAGTATTTTTACAAAATATTCCGAACTTAAAAATTAAAACATAATAATGTAAGTAAACGATTTTAGATCCGGAAAAATAGTTCCTTTGCGAAAACCTAACAACTTGATACAAAAATTGAGTCTTAACCAAAAGCAAACAACGAAAAATTTAAATTTAAAATTTTATATATATTTTATTAAATTTTATATATTAATTTAAATAGTTTGAATTTGTTTTAGAAAATTGTTAAATTAATAATAGCGCCCCATATACCGCTGCTACATTTTTTCAATTCTTAAGTAGAATGGACACTTACTCAACAAGTTACGTGAACGGTTAGAAGCCTTCGAAATGTGGTTTATCGAAGAATGTTGAAAATGTCGTGAACGGATAGGCACCCATGACAACTTATTGCAAAGAATGCACAAAGACTTGAAACTCCTGAAAATACAAAAAAGGATGGAAAAATCCATGGCCGCGGTCATAGAAAAACCACAAATTTCATAACTGCATTTATAATTATAATACACAGAATTTTATCAGCGGAATCTAAAATTTTGTTCCTATAAACGTAGGTGTTGTTGTCGTGAAACGCGAATCGGGGAAAGCGATAAAGCAAGATAAGTTTTCTCAGATTAGACTCAAGGTAATCAAATTCGCATCAGCTATATTTTTACGAATCGTTCTATATTAATGTTGCGTTTTTTTTTCCATAACGAGTAACGCAGCAACTAATTTTACTTCATTTTCTATTTCACGTATTACTTTTTGTATGTAACATATTGAGCACATTGTTTTCTTTTTTGCATACAGGCTCATGAGACTTATCAACTTATGTCTCAGGTTGATAGACGCAGTGGCAGTGTCCCTCAGATCTTTGTGATATAAAGCTCTGAGTGGCACTGTAACTGCTATGGACAGGCGTTTCGCCCAACACACCAGGTGCACGTGGCGCCACTTGGTATCATAAAAAAACAATTGATATGAGATCTAAATTGTAATGTTCTGTGACCGACCTCGGAGTATCACGCAGAATTTCTCTCTGCATCTCAGAGCATTGAAATTTATACCTTATTCCAATTTGTAATAGCGTAAAATATACATTGATAAATGTAATGTCCACTGCCTTGCCGTCCGCCGGTATGCGCTAGCCCTAAAGCTCGTTAACAACGAGTGAGATTGCGGTAGCACACATAAGTGATTAACACAAGCGCTTTTAATTCAAATTATTTCAGTTCGTATTAATGACGCACTTGTATGCTCTTTTTTTTAACCGACTATGTATGTTACTCGATTACTCATTTGTGAACGATGATTCTTTTTTTTGTTGGAGAGATTCATTCCCTAGTTTACCACCCTTAGAGGTGGTATATTTTCTTCAAATTTAAATGAGACCACATCTGAGGTATCCTCTTTCTAACAAAAAAAAAATCATCAAAATCGATTCACAAATCGTTATCGTATCGAGTTATCGAGTAACATACATCCAAAAAATTACATACAGTCCAATTGAAAACCCCTCCGTTTTTTGAAGTCGATTAAAAATAAACTGATTTTTTTTCTTTAGGGAGTCACCACATCTACCAACACGGAATCTTACTAATCCGGTCAGAAAAATCTTTATATCCATGTAATAAGAGCGAAAGAGATGCGTTTTGCGTTTTTTTCGCTCTTTTTACGCTAAATCTTAAGTCAAGTAATTTTAGGATACTTTGCAATTGTATTGACTGAAAGATTATTATGCGTAGACGTAAATTTTTTTCTGACCAACTCAAGCCGATTCCGTTTTAATAAGTGTAGTAACTCCCTATAACCAACTTATAAAGAACTCTGTATTTACAAGAATACAGTACACCTTGTTATAACTAAATGACTCCATAAAGAACGTAAGAAAAAGTACTACGTGCGCCGAAAGTGGGTCGGTGCCGTGTCTCATCAGACTCGATACAAAATTCATGATTCACTACAACTTGTGCCGAGTTATTATCACCTTGGCTCACTCTGACAAGTTACTATCGTTTTGTGGAATGATAGTTGAAATGTTAAAATGGTATTGTACCACTACTACCTACTGTATTACAAGTAGTGTGGGCTGTTTATCGATTATTTATTTGAAGGTCGATACTTTGAAGCGGAACTCCTAATGTGATATTCACTAAGCTAAATAAAAAAAACTTAAGAATATTGTGGATGTGTGTATATATAACGTATTACCTATAAAACGGTCCGAAAGTTTGTTTCTGCAATTAAAGCCTCGCACCAAAGACTTTTGTTAAAGTTCGAAAAGTCCGTCAGCAAAGACAAATGGTTCGACGGAGCTTATAAACTTACCTATGAACAGTTTCATTTGATACTTATATTTATGTTAGCTAGAAAGAGTAGAAATGTGACCTTGATATTGAATTTTAAAGAACGAGCCTAAACAATACGTGTATGCATGAGTGTTATTTGAATTCGTGTAATAATAATAATTTGGCATGTCGCTTCCAGCACAAATGCAGAAGTCTATCCTGCTCTATATGGCACGTTTTGTTCGCAGTTTCTTAAACCTTAGTCCCTAACCTCGTGCGACTGTTCTATTGCCGGGGAATACCGCCTCTCCCATTTAAAAATTCAAAATTAATCTTTTAAGCCATGTGGGTAAAATAGATATCCATAATAATAATAATAATAATAATGAGCCAAACAAGACCAAACTATCTCACCAATTACCAAACTAGGGAATTCACTTTACTATAAATATCAGAGCAACGGACTTCATTCTATTTACCACCAGAATCATTTAGACAAGATTCATTACCCAAATTGGTCCTTGAATTGAACCCGGGTAGTAAGTATAGTAGTGGACTATACTTACTACTATACTATACTTATGACTATACGGTGTGAAAGCACGATTCCTAAAAAAAATTACGATAGAAAAAAACACAAACTTACCTCGAAATTTTACAAGAAAACCGCTGTATTTAATGATTTATTTTTATATCAACGGAACTAAATAGCACACGTATACATTACACGATATACATTCTTTTGGCTTTAACGTATGTTTGCAAAAAAAAATGTGAAAGAAAGTCAGTGTCCCTACCGTCCGACTCAAGCAAAATGAACCGTATTAGTACGGGAAAAATTTAAATTCGAGTTGAGGTAGTATCGACTCTTAACGTGAAGTGTTGCTGTTAAACATTCACAAATTAACTTAACTTAAAAATTAAAGTCTTGGGTAAATTCTGTCACGGGGATTCTTACCACCGCTCTTATATTGCTAGTTATTAGCTACGTTGTCAAATTCGACACGTGTAATTCGGCTTGCGTTTCCGCTGGGTCTGCTGCCTTAGTCAAAATCGGTTTAGCTGTTTTCTAGATCTTGTGGTCTTATTACTATAGCGCGACATCGCTACTATTTAAACTTTACAATTTTATAAAGGGAACTTCGAGAAACACTCTTTCAGCATTT